GGGAAAGAGAGGGTGGTGGTGACACCAACAGTGAGCGTGGTGCACCATAGGTCACACACTCTCCTCTTGACTCGGCATCTAACTAACACCTTTGCTTGGGGGCTCAGTCCTGCACACGTTGTATCCGTGGAGCGGGAGCTATCCAGCGACCATCCATGGTGTGAACTATGTAAGTCCCTGAGGTTGAAGGCATTAGAAATCTGTAATCACAATGCCACAGTGAGTGTGACTAGCATGCAGTGAGCATACGTGGGTGTTGTATGATGAATGTTTGATGGTGCAATGAGCACCCTTGTTTGTGATTGAGAATGAAATAATGGAATTAATGTCTTGTACTTGTTGATACATGATTTAAAATATGTTTTATAAGTGTTTGGAATGGGCAAGGTGAGACTCTATGCATGTTTATGAGTGTGCGATAGTGTAGAGTACTCACCCTAACATTTATTTTTCAGGTGACCAAGACGATCAGCACAGGGCTCAGTGAAGGGATGGATGATACTGCTATATGGGTCAGAATATTTATTTTTGGAACAAAAATGTATTAATTAAGTCTTGCAGCAATTATTTGATTCAAATTGTAATTCATCCTTATTTTAAAAGACTTTATCGAAACTATGTGTTAGGAACTAATTGAATGAAAATTTTTATCACTCCCATTATTGCAAAATTTATTTATTTTAGAAATTAAATTAAGATGTTACAATTTTGGTATAAGAGCAGTTCATCCAAATCAGACTATGGTATCGGGCTGAAGCGTCCAGGTTGAGTGTTGATATGTTTTGATTACCTAAAATATAAATGTTGTTATTGATCTGATGGGTTGAAATGTGGTTTGTTGAACTGTTTGCTATCTTAGATTAGACATGGCTGGTAGAGGTAGAGGAGCTAGAGTCACCAATGATCTCCTAGAACAAATGACCCAAGTTCTAGAGGCCTTGGTGCACAACCAAGACGCAGAGCCGACTAAGTACCGAGGGTTGTCTGCCTTCACTAGGCACAATCCTCCTAAGTTTGAGGGCAAGTTCGATCCTATGGAAGCCTATAGGTGGTTATCTGATGCGGAGAAGATCTTCCATGCGATGGGGTGCAGGGAAGAGTACAAGGTGACATATACTACCTACATGTTATGTGGGGAGGCGGAGGACTGGTGGAGGTTTGCGGGTCAAACCTTGCCACAGAAGGGTGGTTATATTCAATGGGAAGCATTTAAGGCAAGCTTCCTGGGAAACTATTTTCCTCGGGAGCTATCCGACGATCATCCATGGTGTGAACTGAGTAAGTCCCTAAGGTTGAGGGCATCATGAATGTGATCACAGTGCCACAATGAGCGTGGCTAGCGTGCAATGTGTGTACGTGGGTGTTGTATGATGAATGTTTGATGGTGTAGTGAGCGCACCTATTTGTGATTGAGAATGAAATGATGGAATGGGCAAAATGAGACTATATGCTTGTTTATGTGTGGTAATAGTGTAGAGTACTCACCCTTACATTTATTTTACAGGTGACCAAGACGATCAGCACCGGACTCAGTGAAAGGATGGATGATACTACTATAGGGCTTAGAATATTTATTTTTGGAACTGAAATGTATTAATTAAATCTTGTAGCAACTATTTGATTCAAATTATAATCCATCCTTATTTTAAAAGACTTTATTGAAACTATGTGTTGGGAACGTTGAATGAAAATTTTTATCACTCATTATTGCGAAATTTATTTATTTTATAAATTAAATTAAGGTGTTACAAAAAGCAAACACAATGGCAAAAAGTTCTTTATCAGTAGTTGTGTAATTTACTTGTGCATAATTTAAGACTTTGATTGAATAATAAATCACATGCAGTTTTCTATCCTTTCTCTGTCCTAGAACAGGACTTATTGCACTATCACTTGCATCACACATTAATTCAAATGGCAAATTCCTATAAGGTTTTGCAAGAATAGGAGCAGAAATAAGTTTCTCTTTCAAAACAAAAAATGCATGCAAACAAGAATCATTAAATACAAAGTCAGCATCCTTGATAAGTAAATCACTAAGAGGTTTTGCTAATTTTGAACAATCTTTGATAAACCTCCTATAAAAACCTATATGTCCTAAAAAACTCCTCACTCCTTTCACATTAATTGGTGGAGGCAGTTTACTAATAACTTCAATTTTCACTTCTTCCACCTCCATTCCTTTTTCAAAAATTTTATGGCCAAGGACAATTCTCTCTTGAACTATGAAATGACACTTTTTTCAATTCAAAACAAGGTTGGTGTCTTAACACCTCTGCAAAATAATGGACAAATTAGCTAAACAATCATCAAAAGAATTACCAAAAACAGAGAAATCATCCATAAACACTTCAATAATTTTTTTCTACTAAATAAAAAAAATGGACAACATACACCTTTAGAAAGTAGTGGGAGCATTGCACAATCCGATGGCATTCTTCTATATGCAAAAACTCCAAATGTACATGTAAATGTAGTCTTCTCTTAATCCATAGGGTCCACCGTTATTTGATTGTAGCCGGAATATCCATCAAGAAAACAATAAAAGGCATGACCAGCTAGCCTTTCTAACATTTTATCAACAAATGGCAATAGGAAATGATCCTTTCTAGTTGCATCATTTAATTTTCTATAATCTATGCACATGTGCCAGCCTATGACTGTCTTTGTAGGAATTAATTCATTCTTTTCATTAGGCACAACGGTCATCCCTCCTTTCTTAGGAATAATTTGGACTGGACCAACCTATTGGCTGTCCGAAAGGATAAATAATTCCTGCATCTAGCAACCTCATCACTTATTTTCTCACCACTTCTTTCATGGCTGGATTTAATCTTCTTTGTGGCTACACCACTAGTTTATAATTTTTTCAAACAAAATTCTGTGCTTACAAAAAGCTAAATTTATCTCTTTTAAATTGGAAATATGCCAACCAATTGCTGACTTATAAGCTTTAAGAATTCTCAACAATTTTTCTTCTTCCTCTCCCTTGAGATCATTGCTAATAATTACTGGATTTTCATGTTCTTGGTCTAAGAAAGAATATCTTAAGTGAGAAGGCAATTGTTTCAACTCAAGTTTCTCTGCCTTATCTTCTTTTGCTTCCTCTTTCAACTCTTCTTTTGCTGGATTTTCAAAACAAAGGGACAATTGGCAAGGTGTCCAACAGCTGCACATATTCTCTCAAGTGTTTTTCTTTCTTTACAGCAGTAGAATAATTCTCTGCAACTATTGTTTTCCTTAACAATGAAATCTCATCAGCATTATCAATAAAATGAGGGAAAGTAATAGAATCTAGAATATCAACTCTCATACAAGTAAATGTCATCATTGGGATGTTTGAGTGCCTCAAATACATTAAAAATAACCTTCTTATCCTGCACTCTTAACATAAGCTCTCCTTTTTGGATATCAATTAAAGCTCTTCCTATGGCTATGAAAGGTCTACCCAAAATTAAAGGGATGTCAGCATCCACTTCCATGTCCAATATCACAAAATTTGCAAGAAAAATAAATTTGTCAATTTTAACTAGCAAATCCTCTACAAGCTATAAAAAGTTATGCTAGTAGGCTTGACTTCCTCTATTCCAAGTCTCTTCATGATAGCAAGAGGCATGGGATTAACACTGGCCCTAAGATCACATAGAGCTTTCTCAACTGTACAATTTCTAATAAAACATAGGATGCTAAAAGAACATGGATCCTTTAACTTTTTAAGGAGCTTCCTTTGCAAAATAGCACTACATTCTTCAGTCAAATGGACTATTTTGTAATTCTCAAGCTTTCTCTTCTTAGATAATAGCTTCTTCATGAATTTTGCATAAGAAGGCATTTGCTCAAGTGCCTCAGCAAAAGGAATATTTATTTGAAGTTTCTGGAAGACATCTAGAAACCTCTCAAACTGCTTTTCTTATTTGTGATTTGGCATTCTTTGACGATATGACAGTTTCTTGTATTTCTTATCATCAATAGGTTGATTTGTTTCCTCAAGTATTTGTCTTTTTGTCTTTCTCATAGCCCTTGGAAATCACTTTTTCTGAATTCTTTCTTTTCAACAAAGTGAATTTTCTTCATCCAAATCAGATTTCAACTTTTCTTCCTTAGTAGCAAAATTTTTTTTCTCTCTTTTCTACAGGTTTGGAACTCCCCACAACAGCCTCACTCCTAGTCATTATAGCTTGGCATTGTTCCTTTCGATTGACAACTATATTGCTAGGAAATCTCCCTTCATCTCTGTTGAACAGCTGTTCAACCAGCTGTTCAACCAGCTGTCCTATTTGAGTTTCAAGCTTTTTCATGGAAATTTCTTGGTTCTTGAATCTTATTTGGGTTACTTTCATAAATTGCAACATAGTTTCCTCTATCTTACTCAACCTTTTAGTCATAGGCTTAGAAAACTTTTGATTTCTTTGAGGTTGAGTAGCTGGATTCTCTTGTAAATAATGTTGTTGTGCTATTGTACCTGCACCAGAAAAAGGCATAGCAGAATTAAAATTCTTTGCAACAGAATTTTGAGAATTTTAATTATAATGCTACTGATTTCTACAATTAGGATACTGAAAATTAGGTGGGAATGAAGGTTGTTGTCTCTAAAAATTTCTCATATAATTAATTTGCTCTTATGGTTCAACTATAGGTGCATCACATGCACCATTGGCATGGTTTTATGCACAAAAATCACAAGTAAGCTGGATATTCTGAATTGGCCCTACTTGAAGATTGCTTATTTGTTGAGTTAGTGCAGCAATTTGCTCTGAAAACATTTCATTTTGCAGCTGGTTCTACGCAAGGAAAGTCTCAAGAATTTTAGCCTCATATCCTCCACTCTTTTTAGAGTGTTTTGCATTAGAATTTTGATACATAGATAAAGCCATCATCTCTATAATCTGTTGAGTTTCCTCCAATGATTTTGTATTCAATGATCCTCCTACAGCTGCATCAATCATAGTCTGAGTGGCTGGACTCATTCCATTATAGAAAGTTTTCACATCCATTCCGGTATGTAATGGTGTGGACACTTCCTCAAAAGCTCTTTATATCTCTCCTAAGCCTCATATAATGATTTTTCTTCTTGCTGCACAAATGATGTGATCTTACCTCTTAACTTGACAGCCTTAGATGGTGGGAAATATTTGATAAGAAATTTGTTAACAAGGTCTGTCTAAGTAGTTATGCTTCCTTGTGGTTGAGCTTGCAGTCAGCACTTTGCTTTATCCCTAAAGGAAAATGGAAATAATATCCATCTAGTTGCATCCTCGCTGACTTCATCCATCCTAATTGTATCATAAAGCTGCAAAAAGTTAGAGATATGTAAGTTAGAATCATCTGAAATTGAACTAGAAAATTGATCTTGTTGAACTAAATGAAGTAGAGCTGATTTTATTTCAAAATGATTGGCTTGTATGGTAGGTTTGACTATAGACGAGTTGTATTTGTAACGCCCTGAATTTTGGTAATATTAATTATTGTTATTATTATTCTTATATATATATATATATATTCATATGTGTGTTGATTTATTTGAAAATGATGTTTTATGTGTATTAAGTACATGGATGTGTGTATATATGTATATGTATGACTGGATAGGGCTGAAATGGGCTAAGTGCCTAAGTGCGGGGCGTAACACTGGACTATTCTCGTTGTAGCAAGAAGGCCCTGGAAGGAAGGACCAGAATTGTCGCCTTCTTGCTATAGCGAGAGATATCTTGCTGTAGCGATAGAGCGACAGTTTAGGGTGTATTTCTGGGTGCAGTCTCGCCTTAGCGAGAGTGTCACGACCAAAAAAGGATTTAAAAGGGGTTAGGGTTCGGGGAGAGTTATTTCTCCCTCTCCCTTCGAAATTCCTTTGATCCTCTCGTTCCCAAAGCCCTATTCCACCTATTAATTACCTTTGAAGTCGTTCGGGAGCTTGATTGAAGGTAGAATTCGTGTGGGGAATGCTTGGAGGTAAGTTTTAATGGTTAAGGTTTCAATTTTTCATCCTCTTTCTCTGTTTTTGTGGTTCCCCTGCGTTCTCATGGAGTTTCTCCATGTGTTTTAGGCCAAAATCTGCATAGGGAGCACGTCCGTGGTTGAATCCAAGTGTGGGTCTTCAATCCAAGGTAAAGGGGGACTCTACCCTATCTCAATGTGTTATAATTCTTGTGTGTTTTGTTGATTAATGCAATGTGGCAGAGATAGGGAGGAGAAATTGCGTGTTGAATGGAAATTGGTGTGCAAAGTGATGTGTGATAGAATAATTGGACCCCATGAGGGTGATTGTGTGTGATGGAATGCCATTGCTTGGTGAATTAATAATAGTGTGAATAAATGTGGGCTATATGCGGTGTAATGTGAAATGAATGTGGGCCTAGTGCCGTGTATTTGAGTGCCATGTGGGCTATGTGCCGTGTGTAAGCATGATCTTTGCATGCGTGAATGGAATATATGTATGAATGGGCGTATTAGCGCCGTTGTGATGTGCTATGAATGGTTCAGCGATACACTGGGAGTGTGAAAGATGAGAACAGTAGGAATACCTTGGGGAAGAAAGAGTAGTGGTGACACCGACTGCGAAACAGGTGCACCACAGGCCACACACTCTCTTCCTGACTAAACCTTTGACTACTATCCTTGCTGAGCGACCCGTGATTGCTCACGTGGTATCTGTGAGGCAGGGGTAACCGGCGACCATTTATGGTGTAAATCTATAATCACAGTACTATAGTGAGTGTGGTTGGTATGTATATGCATGGATTTGTATTTTGTACTTATGGATGTGAATTGCTGCCTGTCATTGTTTATGTTAAATGTATTGGGAAGGTTCTAGAGGTGAGACTCTATGTTGAATGTGTGTTTTGGATCAGCACCGGACTTAGTGAAGAGATGGATGGACTGCTATAGGACTTAGTTTTTATTTTAAAATTTGTTGTAACCAAAATAGTCTTGTAGTAGTCATTTAATATTAATTTGTAACACTTCCCTTATTTTGAAGTATTTTATAAAAATTGATTATTTGAATTTGTGAAATTCTTATTAAATTAAAATTAAATTTAAGGTATTACAATATCCTTGTATGTTAAGCACTGCATAATCTCCTAAAGTTCTCATTTTGTTCTGTTTAGCCATTATCTTCTCTTAAGGTGTTGGTGGTGTAGGAGAAGAAATTTGAAGTTTATCTTATTTAGGAGTAGAAGGTGTAGATTATAATTCTTGCTCTTTACTTGCTGAATTTCCTACTCTTAATTTGTTTCTTAGCCTTCTTAATGTTCTGTCTATATCCAGATTAAATACAAGGGTAGTCTTGCTTTTATTTTTTCCACCCATAAATAAAAAGGAAAACTAAACATAGCAAAAACACTTGAAATTGATCAAAATACAAGACAGTATTAGGCAAAAGATTACTAATAGAATATTCTACAACGAATCAAGAGTGAAAATTAATATTCAAACATCTAAGCTAAACATAAAATGAAATTCCACAAAGTTTATAAAAAACTAGACAACAAAAATGTATAGAAAATTATCAAAAAGTATTATGAATTTCAAGTATATAGAAAACATAATTAAAGAAAAACAAAAAACAAATAGCTCAATCTAACTGTCTCCTTACTACTAATGATATTGAAAAACAAAGATCCCCAACAACGGCGCCTAAAACTTATTACGTTTCATAATAGAGCAATATGCTTTATATAAAATCACTAACTAGCAAGTGTACTAGGTAGTTGTAACAAATAATAAAATTTTGGAAATCAATATGAGTCCTAAGTATCGTCCATAAAGATCTTATTTTCAATTCTCACTTTACAATTTGGCACTTAATTGAGCCACACAATTCAGTTGGAAGATTTGGAACATATAAGAATAAGAAATAAAAACAATAAAAGGTAACAAATATGCTATAAAAATAGAATACGAATTTTTATATGAAAATGCTATATGGATAATAGTTAGGAATCACAATTTTCAATTGCAATATGATCATGTTCTGGACTCTTAAGAATTCTAATTGATTGATAATCAATTTCACTTTTTTAACCAAAGAACAATTCCTTGCCTCATTAATCGTAATACCTAATTAAACCTCCCTAATTCCTTAGGTGAAATTCAATCAAATATTGCATTAAGTTATGAAAAGTATAGGATTACTAGATTATGATATTTATTCCTAAGAACTCAATAACCTAGGCATATTAATTTTCATTGATGAAGATTTCTCTAAGTTCAATTAAATGAAGGATTAGTTCACAACTGCATTAAGAACAGAATCACATACTTAATTCAATTAAAATCTCAAGGTCCAGATCCACAATTACATCACAATATCAAATCTGGATCCATGGATCCCTAATCAAAAAGATTTAGAACAACATTACAATTGAAGAAGGAAAAGTAAGAGATGAAGAAGACAAGGAGCAGAAGAACATCTTTAAAGACCCAATCTTCACCCTGATTCCTCTAGCAATGCTTGAAAGTCAGTTCCTTTCCTTCTCTCTGACTTCCCTTGAAAGTTAAAACAGTTAGAAAGTGAAAAATAACAAAAAATATACAAAAGTCTCTAAGCTGAACTCCTAACTACTATTTATAATATTTTTCCTGACTTTTTCACTTCTACACTTTAATCTCTGATAATTATAACATGAAAAGCCTTCTAGAAGCTTCTATGGCTGAAGTAAGAACTTAAATCGTCTAATGTTGACACTTAAAAGTAGTTTCTAGAATTTTGTTATTTTGCGTAAACACTTTCAATAAACAGAGTGATAATGCACAGCTGTTTTCTGAACTTTTGCCTTGCGCATGGCTACTCTCAGTAGTCAGAGTGAACACGTGCAGGGTGCCTAAGCAAATTAGCCTTGGGCGTTATCACTCTTAGCAGACAGAGTGTTAACGCATAAGCCCTTCCTAAATTCTATTGCTGGAGTGTTAACTTTTAGCACTTAGAGATGCTACGCACTTGATCTTTATAAATTCTCTTTTTCAAAGTGTTGATTCTATGCACCTAAAGTGGCTACGTTCAGCATTTATCACTTGATTCTTGATCTTTTAAGCTTAATCTTTCTATTTCTTCACTCCAAAATCTCAGCCCAAGCTTATGCACAAAAAAATTAATTCTTTTTAAGCTAAATTTCTCCAAAATTAGAATAAAATCCAAAATTCCAAACCAACTACACAATTAAGAATATCAATGCAATTTTTATGATATTTCCAAGTTTATTTAATACTTTACTACTTATTTATTAACAAAAACTATAGTAAAAATGTAATAAAATGTGGATTTATCAGTACATCATTTTCTTACAAAAATTTTAAAAATAAAAATAAAAATAATATGCATATAGTAAGCTAAAATCAAACATATTCATCTCAAATGTATTGATATTTTGATGCAAATAATACTGCAAACCAATGAGTGATTAAGACTAAATGTTATTTTAATTTTCTTAGACTTAAATATTTAGTTGGGTCATAGGACTCAGTGAGGATTTATAAAAATATCCACAAAAATGAAAATGAATGCAATCCGCAAAGCTAACACCCAAGTCACCTTGATTCAACCTAGCGAAGAAATTAATCTTAAAAATTGAAAATGATTATGACAGATATTTGCATGAAAAAAAATCTTAAATCAAATTATTTTTACTTGATAAATTTTTAAGAAAATCCTTAAATTTTTTAAGGTTGTGAGGAATCTTGTTCTTCTTGTTCAATTTAACTTATTAAAAGGGATTGAACAGATTATAAAACAAAAAACCAAATACCTTGCATTATATATGTCCTTAGTTTAAGTAATTACAATATTCTTATAACAAATTACAATGTTTCAAAATCATTTTCAAGGAATTTATGAATACTTTAATTGATTACATTGCATCTTTAACTGATTACATGCATGATCAAATTAATTAATTGCACAAATTTGTAATAGATTAATTAAATTATCACTTAGTAGAGGTTAGAAATTGGACAACTTTAACTATATGATATATTCTATCTAATCCGCAAACAACTATTTCTCATATCTAATGTAAATACATGAGCTTTTAAGGCTAAAATCATTTTAAATACACGTGAATGATTAAACGATTAATATTAACATTTCAAAAGGCTATTTTTATTAGTTTT